CATGACTACTAGGCCCGGGGGCTACGCCGCACGCAGAGAGCTCCGCCTTCACCCGGCCGGCACGACTCCACCCTGGGCATGACAACTATGCCCGGGGGCTCCGCCTTCACCCGACTGGCACGACTCCGCCCTGGGCACGATTACTATGCTCAGGGGCTTCGCCTCACGCAGGGGTTGCGCCCTCACTTGGCCAGCACGACTCCGCCCCGGGGGCTTCACCGACTACTACGCCCGAGAGCTACGCGTCACGCTGGGGGCTCCACCTTCACCCTGCCGGCATGAATCCGCTCTAGGCACGATTACTACGCCCGGGGGCTTCGCCGCACGCTAGGGGCTACATCCTCACCTGGTCGGCACGACGCTGCCACGAGGAGCTTCACCGACTACTACGCTGGGGGCTCCACCTTCACCTGGCTGGCTCGACTCCGCCCTGGGCATGACTACTACGCCCGGGGGCTATGCCGCACGATGGGAGCTCCGCCCTCACCCAGACAGCACGAACGACCGCCGCGCAAACACCAAAAGCCTAGAGGCTAAACCGAGTGCCATAGGTCACACCTTCACTCACCCTTCCTATCGGGTCAGGAGCGTCTCCCTCGCCAACCAGCGGACCGCAACCGTCAAGGCACGAGGTGAAGATCACACGCTGCCGGGCCTGACCACAAGAAATTCTGCCACGCCCGAAGGCTCGAAATCTCCCGGCAACCGCCAGGCCCTGGCCATGCCCCTCCCGGCTAAGCTAGGTGTTCCTTATACCATCGGCCCCGCAGGTGGCCGGTAACCACCTAGGGGTTGAGCAAAGGCTTCAGGTCCGACGGCCCCCGTCACATGAAGTACGGCCACACCCGGGGGCCCACTACCCTTAGGCCATCACCCGACCCTGGTCAGAGCCCTCTAGGAGTTGAGCGAAGACCTCGGGTTCATGGGCTTCACGGTCCTTGTTTCCTTGGTATTGCCACGTAGGAGGCTTGTGATCTCCTGCCTCAGAGCCCGGCTCCGCAGGTGCTGGGTGCGCATCTAGGAGCCTGGCACAGGTCCTTACATCACTCACTCTCGACCCCAGCACGACCCCAGCCATCCCGGCATGGAGTTGGGAGGCTACCGGGCTTCGCTTCGAGTTCATCAAGTCAACTCCAACCCGCGACGACCCCAGTCATCCCGGCATGGAGTCGAGAGGCTACCTGGCTTTGCTTCGAGTTCGTCAAGTCAACTCCGCCCCGCGATGAACCCAGTCATTTGTCACACCCAGAAATTTAGCCCAAATTTTTAGACTATTTTGTGTATTAAATCGCTGTCTAGGAATCAGCTAGGGTACACAAAACGACAAGTAATAAACAGTTCCAAACGTAAATAAAGCATAAAATACTTACAGAAGAGGCACTTAGTCCTCAGACCGAAAGAGAACGACAGCAGCAGAAAAGGCGATCCTAGCGGGGCTTCAACTCCACTCCACAGGCAAAACTCAACTGGGGTCTGAGCCTTAGTCTTCTAACTTCGTCTTCAGCTCAGAAGCGCTATTACTTCTAAAAAGGGGAACAATAGCAAGGCTGAGTATAACAACCGTACTCATCAAGCCATACTAACGATGCAGACGTGCAAGGGGATACAAGGATGGCTTGTGGCTATTTGTATAAATGCGGTTGTAAAATATTTTATTGAGCAAAACAGTAAAATAGTTAAGTAATTAAGGTAACATTAAATCTCCATTGATCAACGGTACACCACGTTGAATAGGCCCAACCATCCCACTCAAACTAAGTGCATTGAGTTGATTTATTAAGGGTGAGACTAATCACGGTGAATCTGGTCGACCGCCCATAACCGCGGGCACGGCTATTCGAATAGTTTTACTCTGATCAGAGGTGTACAACTGTACCCACAAGACACAGCCCACGACACGTTTTCGAGCGCCGACATGCCACCACGACATACCAGAAAGACGCCGTGACTGGACCCTTCGCATAACCCCCTCTAACCAATCGCACCACACCTCCGGTTTCGCCCCCATCCCTAGTAGGCAACGGGCAGCCCCCATCGTGCCACAGTGGATCCGAAAGCCGATCAACCGAACACCCCGACCGACCCAACTCCATCACGCCCACCCTAGCCTGGGTACGTCAGCTAGAGAAAAGCTACACTACAAGCCCAGTCGTTGCCCACACTGGCTTGTGGTAAGCGTGATGAATTCTTCCAGGGTTTCCCGCGAACCGGTCCTTAATTGCCATGGGTGCGACTAGCAAAACCATGCACCCATAGCCCACCATTAAGTCGCATTTTTGTTGGATAATTACGACCAATGAAACATGGTCGGATGTCTCGAGCACGCAGCTCATCTGAGTACTAAGATGTATAATAATGTAATTATCCCATCAACTGAGCTAGTGGTAATTAAGCATGGCTAAGCCTATAGTTCTAGCTATGTCACATAAGTAACACGAACTAGTCAAATTATCACCCAAATTTAGCAAAGGAAGGATATCAAGTAAACATGGCACAAGCGAGCAGATAGGTAATACCCTGATCCCACATAATTAACAAGACATGCAATTTCATTTGCAAATGATAAAATATTTATAAAGTAGGCTCAATATGCTCAAGAGGAATGTGTCACTTGCCTTGCTTCTTCAAAACAATCTTCTGAACTCTTATCCTTGCAACCGCGATGTTCCGAAACGGCGAAAACTACAGTCTGGCACGCAAAACGAGGAAAAACTCTAATAAAAACCAAGTAGACAGTATATAAAAAGTAAACAAACATGTAGATCTCAATTTTAGATGAATTTTGCAAGTTAAATGGCCCAATTTGGAGTTCGTATGAATTAGATATAAATTTTAGAAGTATTGAGCCATTTGAATGATTTTCTAGAATTAACATCGATTTATGATGCAATTATTAAATATTTTCTCAAAGAAAAGGCTGTTGCTGACGTCATCAAAGGGGCCGGCGCAGACAGGCGGGCCTCACACGTCAGTGGGTCAAGGGGAGCGGTCCACCGTGGACCAGAACCACGAGGTGGTCCACCGCCGGTCCACGGGAACCGACGGCCCAAATCGGCCAAAACCGATCGGGCGGCCATAGAGTGGCGCGGCCAGGGCACAGGCGCGGCTCAAAGCTGGCCCGGCTGAGCCATGGCGCGACGGCGGCGCTCGGCCACCGGCGGCGCAAGATGGCGGCGGGGATGAGAGAGGGGTGCTCACCAAGTGCCCGAGGCAAGGAAGCGACGCGGGGAGCTCAACGATGAGAGACGGCAGTGGTGCTTGCGGGTTGGAGTCGGGGACGACGCTCCATTGACTCCCAACCGCGGCGGAGGCGTGGCCGAGAACCGGCGGAACCTAGGGAACAAGGGGGAAGGGTTAGAGGAGGGGGAGGCGGCGTCAATCGCCGGCCAGAAGAGGAGGGAATGATGGAGCTCACCTTTCGCGAGGAGGCAACCACTCCGGAGCGGTTGGGGCAAAACAGAAGGGCGGCCAAGGCACTCCTCGATGAGGTGAAGCAAACGGCAGTGACGGCGCGACTTGAGGTGGCTAGGAGCGGCGGTGGTGGCCGACCGAAGTGCAGAACGGCAGCGGCACTAGGGGATTCACAGTGGAGATGGTGTTTCGTGGGTGGAAGGTAGAAGTGGAGTGGGTGCTGGGGTGCGGAGCGGCATGGCGAAGCCGGTGGCGCCAGCGGCAGGATGCGGCGACGGCGGGAGCGGCGGTGGCGCGTTGTTGGAGAGGGAGAGGAGCGGAAATGAGAGAGGGAGCTCCGGGGATCGTTTTTATGGGCTCGGGGGATTGGGATCGTGGTCGGGCGAGGCGGTAGAGGGCGGCAACTGCCGGCGATGTGGGGGGAGACAGAGAGATGAGGGAGGCGGTGGCATGGCAGGATTTTGCGAGGAGAGTAGAGGAAACGGTGCGGAAATGGGCGGCGACCACGCCCACGCACGCACGGGAGAGGGAACCATGCGATGAAAGCGACGACGTGGGTGGATTTGGCAGCCATGGCGGTTGCTTGCGGGGTGGCTGAAGGAAGGAGGAGGAGCTGACATGTGGGGCCTCGGGTCCCACATGTCGGCTAGAGAGAGAGGGGAGACCGGGAGGAGGGCAAAGTAGATTTTCACGAGGGCGGGCTGAAGGAGAGGGAAAATGAGTAGACGGCCCAAGAGAGGAGAGGGGAGGCCGGCCGAGAGAGGGAGGAGGGAAAGGAGGGCTTGGGCTGAAAAAAGGGCCCAAGGGGAGGAAGGGAAGTTTATTTTGTTCTCTTTTTATTTTAATTGATTAAATGAATTTTATGCTTTTAAAATTATTTCTTGAGCTCCGAAAATTCACGGGAAATTTCAGAGAGTACATTAGGGCACAGAGAATATTACAAATTATTTCCGACCATGATTTTTAAAGGAAATTTTAATTCCCTCGATAATTCACTTGATTAAATTGCTTTAATTTTTATTTAATTTCTAGAAAATGTAGTATTTAATGATTTTTAATCCCGAACGAAAATCGGGGCGTTACATCGTCCCGGCATGGAGTCGGGACGCTACCCGGCTTCGCTTTGAGTTCTTCAAGTCAACTCTGCCCCGCGACAACCCCAGTCACCCCGGTACGGAGTCAGGATGCTACCCGGCTTCGCTTCAAGTTCGTCAAGACAACTCCACTCCGCGATGACCCCAGTCATTGCGACATGGAGTCAGGGGCCTACTAGGTATAGCTACTGACTTGCATTTGCTGAAGATCGGGCATGAGACCCAGGTCTGGGTGGGCGTACTCGGGAGATGTGCCCTGGAGGGTAGCCTTACTTGGCCACCACTTCGTCGCCGGGAGGCTTACACCTCCACGCCGGTTACCTATGGCCTTCTCCGGGTGATGTCGTCCCTGTGCTGGACGGCTAGTTCGTCGCCGCCTGGAGGCCTACACCTCCACGCCGGCCACCCATGCCGCCGCCGGATGACGTCGTCTATGTGCAGGACGGCTACTTCATCGCCGCCTGGAGGCTTGCACCTCCACGCTAGCCACCTAGGATGCTGTCGGGTGACGCCGTCCCCGTGCTGGAAGGCTACTTTGCCACCGCCTGGAGGCCTACACCACCACGCCGGCCACCTTTGCCGCTGCCCAGTGATGTCACCCCTGTGCTGGACGGCTACTACGTCACTGCCCGGTGGCTTGCACCTCCACGCTGGCCACCTACACCGCCGCCGGGTGACGTCATCTTGGCGCAGGGCAGCTACTTCGTCACTGCCTGGAGGCCTATACCACCATGCTGGCTACCTTCACCGCCACCGGGTGATGTCGTCCCCATGCTGGACAGCTACTTCGTCGCCGCCCGGTGGCTTGCACCTCCACGCCGGCCACCTACGCCGCCGTCGGATGACGTCGTCTATGTGCAGGACGGCTACTTCATCGCCTCCTGGAGGCTCGCACCTCCACGACGGCCACCTACACCGCTGTCGGGTGACGCCGTCCCCATGCTAGACGGCTACTTCGTCACCGCCTAGAGGCCTACACCACCACGCCGGCCACCTTCGCCGCCGCCGGGTGACCTCGTCCCCGTGCTAGACGGCTACATCATCGCCTCCCGGTGGCTTGCACCTCCACGCCGGCCACCTACGCCGCTGCCAGGTGACGTCCTCTCTGTGCAAGATGGCTACTTCATCGCCGCCTGAAGGCTTGCGCCTCCATGCCGGCCACCTACGTCGCTGTCGGGTGACGCTGTCTCCGTGCAGGACGACTACTTCGTCGCCACCTGAGGGCCTACACCACCACGCCGGCTACCTACACCGCCGTCGGGCGACGTCGTCTCCGCGCAGGACGGTTACTTCGTCGCCGCCTGAAGGCTTTCATCTCCGAGAAGACTGGTTTCGCCTCTACGTCAGAAACGACACTTCTTCAACAAGATGATTATTTGGCTAGTCAGTTGGACAAGGACTCGGCTACAACAAGTATCACTCGGCAACGCTGGGGATGAGTACTGTAACATCCTTAAAATTCAAGACAATGAAAATCACGAAAATTTCGAACTTTTTAAAACTTTTGCATCATGCTGGTTGTTATGATTGCTATTGCTTGCCAAACCGTAAATGATCACCAAGAAAGTAAAGAAAAGAACTACATTTAAGCAATAGATATGATTTACGGGAATATATTTAATCCTACAAATAATTATGCACAAGATATTAAAATCAAATAAAAGAAAAGTTATTATTAACCTATTTTATCAAATATTAAAATATTTGAATAATGTAGGTGGGTGCCATAATATGTGTACACATGAAATGATGATCATTCAAATAAACTGAGCTCTCTATATATATAATAGAATTACGGGAGTATTTAATTCGATATGTAGATCGATTTTGCACCAAGTTCCTAATTGCATTTAGGGATTGAAATTTGATATATTAAACCCCTCCATATAAAATAAACTAACATATAAATAAATTGAGCTAATGTGGTATTGTGTTAATAACGGTCTCATTAGAAAATTATAGAATCTTTAATAAACCTTAAATATTGGACAATATTAAATTTTGGGCAAATTCACATTTGAACACTTAATACGGTCACCTAAATGCTTAGGAGTAAATACAAATTTAATTTGCAACTTTTCTCAATTTATAAATCAACCAAAACCCTAAAAGAAGAAAAATAGGAAAACTTTGAAAAATATATAATAATAATAAGAATTAACCCTAATTAAAAATTCAAATAAATTATATAAATAAAATATGAATAATATTAATCTAGAATAAATCCATTGGTTGGAATGACACAAATATTGGGTAAACTTCATTTATACAAAATCTAGGATTTATAGAATCAAATTTACACAAGAAATAGGCTAAAATGGGGATTAAATAGGAAAAGACACTATTCATCGGCCGCCAGGTGTTCGACGTGGTCCCCTAACCCAGCCCCTCCTCTTTCCCCCTCTCTCTGTCGCCTGCCGCCGCACCGCCTACCCGTCGCGTCGCCGCTGCCGCGCCGCGCGCCGTAGCCGTCACTGCCTCGCGCCGCGCGCCGCCGCTGTCACGCCGTCCTGCGCCCACGCGTCGCGTCCGTCGTGTCGCCGTCGTCTCGAGCCCCGCGCCGCCCTGTCGCCATCGCCGCGCGCCGAGCCCCGTGCCGCGCCGCGCCGTCCCGTCGCCGCGTCGCCGTCCCGTCGACGCTCCGCCGTCATCGTCGCGTCGCCCGTCGCCCTCACCGCGCGCCAAGCCCCGCGCCGCCCCGAGCCCCGCGCCGCCGTCGCGTCACCCCCTCCCTTCTCTTCCCTCTTCCCCTTATTCCCTCTCTCCCCTATAAGAGCCACCGTTCTCCCCTCTCCTCACTCCATCTTCCCCCTCCTCTCCCTCTTCCCCCTCTCCACGCGCCGCCGCGTCGCCGCCTTCGAGCCGCCGCGCCGCCGCCCTCGTGCTGTCGTGCCGCCGCATTCGTGACCGCCGCGCCGCCGCCTCAGTGTGCCGCGCCGTGCGCCGTCGTCGCCGCCGCCGTCGTCGCCACCGCCGCCGTCGGTGAGCCGCTGCCCCCCCTATTTGTCGCCGTGCCGCCGGGTAGAGAGGGAGCCGAGAAAGAGAGAGGAAGGGAGAAGCCGAGGGAGAGAAAGAAGAGGGAAGGAGGAGAGAAACCGGAAAGGAGAGAGAGAGAAAGGAAAAGAAAAGAGAGAGAGAGAAAGGAGAAGAAAAGAAAAGAAAAGAGAGAGAAAAAGGAAAAGAAAAGAAAAGAGAGAGAGAAAGGAGAGGAGAGATTAGAGTGGGCCCCACGTGTTTAGTGAATAGTAAACCCCTTCTTAATCTTTATTAGTTGAATCTATTACATGTGGGTCCGGGTGGTTAAAAATCTAATTATAGAAGTTTTTTTGGTCTCGAGTTTATGACATGTGGGCCCCACTTGTCATTAGCTCTTCCTATTTCCCTTTAGAAAATAATTCGGTAGGAAAAAGGATAAACCCGGGGTCCCACTTGTCAATGGATATGTCTTGGATTAAAAATAAATCGTTTATGAACAGTAGCTTTTCGCAATTTCTCGGATTAATTCAAATTTGAATCTTTACACTAGCATAACTTATTCATTTTAACTCGGATTTGAGTGAAACTTGAACCTAAATTCATCTAAATTCATAAGCTTTCCAATAATATATAATTCACTATTCAATAAAATATATTTATAATTATAAATTAATTAATATCAAATGATTAGATAATAGTTAACCTAAATAGTGTGCCAATAAATAAAAAAATGGATATTGTACAGTAGCATAATTATCTTTAATATATCTTGTCACTGTAGCAACCAAATAAATTAATTATAATCAATCCTTCAAATTAATGGATGTAAAGGAAAATATTAGTGCCATTTACTAGCCTATGTCCAAATATAACTAATTCCATGACTTATAAATTATTTACATAAAGTTTAGCCTCATATTTTGTAACTAAACTATAAACACATATAGATGAATCTTTAACTTGTTTAGGAGAGTAATCACAGAGCTAGTTGTATTTGGACCACTTAAAAAAAATTAGTTGATACCATGTCATGTGAAGTAGAATATATATATATATATATATATAGTCGGTTGATATCCATTAGTTAACCAAATAGAGCCATCTTAAAATCAACATGTATTGTATAGCTTACAGTAAAAAGAAACTACTCAAATATATGATCCAATAATAAGATATTGTTGCTTACACATATACTATACATCCCATTATAGTGGTACGGTATAGTATTAATTTGCGTGTTGCATATATGAAATTAAGAGGGAGTGTATGACAAACATGTATATTAGATAAATACTAGTTATAAATCTTGACCTCATATAATTATAATTATAGTTCAACTGTAAATTAGTATTATTCATTGTAAAATTATGTGATGGGATAATCTGTAACCATAATATGATTAACCTAAACAACTCTAACATACAAAGCATGGATAATTATTAACCTTTTATAATTTATTGTGACAAGTAAAATATGTTCATAATTAAAGTAAAGCTTCCATCAATAAAATAAATAATACAAATGATTCACTGTAATTATTTGATTGATCCTAAATCCATCCGACAACAGAACCTCTAGTATACGACCATTTTATTTAGATAGATGCATGTGTAGCCATAATCCTTCCATAGCCATTAGCTAGACTAAACCACAAATTAGCCAGATACGTATCTCATTCACACTACATTGGCTAGCTCCTAAATAGACCACCATGATAACAGAAAGATTAAGAAACTTTAGCCCTTAGCATGTTGGAACCCATTAGCAAGCGCGAATAATATGAGCAACCTTAGGTTCAACCTCAACAAATATATTTTGTTTGTGCATATTTGATTGTTGCTTGAATATTGGTTTTTCTCGCGTATTATAGACTTTGTGTATCGGATAGTCGTGAGGCAACGTCAGCAACTTCCAGGAGGTGAAGGTTGATCAAGAATTATATCAAGAATAAGGACTATCCTGAGCAAGGCAAGTCATCACTATTCCTTGAACATGTTGATCCCAATTGCGAAATTGTTTTGTATACAAATAAAATTGCATGCAATGATGAACATCCTACTTGTGATTATGCCATGCCTTGATTATTGTTTACCCCTTATTCCTTCGTAACCATGTTTACGTATGAGTCCCTAGTCAACTATGACAATTGCTTAGAAATGCTATTCTAGAATCATGCATACTCATATTTATCAAAATGCTTTATGCTTGGGCAATTACCTTTGGGAAGGTAATTGAGATGCGGCATGTGGAGACATGAGCGCCACATTGCCATGATATTGATGACATGATTTGTGAAAAGAGAAATAAAACTAAAACAACTATTTTCGACTGGGGCGGACAGAGGATTTGGGTGGTATCCGGAAAAGGCTAGTGCCGTCCCTGGTCAATTAAGGACCGAGCCATGAAGTTAAGCATGAAACGACCCCCGTACAACCGCGCTTCTCGTATGGGTATAGACCTGGCGGAGTAGATGGCTGAGCGGAGGCAGTATCCATGCATAGTGGTTTCTTGATGTGTGAGGCAGGGGCTCTACGGTGGGGCAGCCATAGGTAGAACCGCGAGGCGGGTGTCTACAGTGGTGTCGCCATTGGTAGGACTGTCATGTGAGAATTTAAACATAATTATAACTTAATGCATGTGTAAGTCTTTCCCTCCCGGGTGCGCCAGAACTCCTCTCACTGCTAGAAACCGTGTGCGCCTAGAGTGCATGAGGATGTAAAGTTCACGGAGCGGGTACTGCCAATGCGAGGTTATCGAAAAGCTTTGTCGTGACGCGTCTCATGTGTTGGGACGAGGCTCATGTGTTGGGCAGTCGCGGAGTGCGGGTAAAGTGTACATCCACTGCAGTGTGAGTAAACCAAATCTATTCGAATAGCCGTGCTCGCGGTTAATGAGCACCGGGACATGTATTACACTTGGCTAGACTCTAAATTCTTAACTTGTGTAGGATGGGATATTGCATGGTGATTTTTATGCTGATGGAGCCATTTCCT